GGGGGGGGGGGGGGGGGGGACATTGGACATTCCTCCAGCCAACACCTCTGACGGGGCTTCACTCTGTTCACACTCAGCTAAAACACTCCGGGCTGATTCCCTCAGAGAGTAAAACTAAAAGCAGCTCAGATCTGTTCCTTGGGGGACCCCAGAGGCCTGAGACCCCCCCTCAGCTCAGCCGGGTTTAAGCCGTTCTTTGGGGGTCCGGAGAGGAAGAAGCTGAGGTCCTCTACCACCAATGAGAGGAGGTGGGGGTCAGCAGGCCGTCTGGTTTGTGGGACTCTTACGCCTTTAGTTTGACAATTTCCGTTTTTTCTGGTGGATGGCATCGGCCTAAATAGATCTGGAGTCAGGCTGTTTGCAGCTAATCTTTTCTATGTGTTGAATTTAGGCTCGATCCCACACGAGCGTTAGCATTAGCATTAGCATCTGCTAACCCACAGGTCTGTGTCCTAACCATTAAGTTATCACAGTAAATCCCTGTTCAACATGAGTCCGACAACTAAATAAGTAGATAAATAACTTTACACTTTAACACATGATCTGATAGGCCAGGATCGGGATAAAAAAGCTGGATGGGGACATCCCTAGTTGAATTCCCATTCTGCTCAGTTGGACAAGGACAGAACGAAGCATAAACAGGAGGATAAGGGTCAGGATTGTGACGCCTAAATAGCAGTTGGAGCCAGATAAAGTACCAGTACGCTGATATGAACCGGGTCCAGGCACCAGTCCTACAGGCACCCTAACCCAGGAAGAGCCTTCATCCCTGCTCTGATACCAACAGAAAAAGATTAGTCAGCCTTCAGAGAGCAAAACACCCTGTATCAAACCTTGTGTTCACCACGTCAGCCCCCAATACCGACACACTGAAACTAGATTTACTAATGTCCGGTCTTTAGCAGGAAAACCTGTTTAATTAATGACTTTATTTCTTCTCACAATCTTGACTTTGTGTTTTTAGCTGAGACATGACTCGACAAAACCCCGGCTGATGCAGTCCTGTCCCATATTTAGGGACAAGTTACTCACACACAAACTATCATTTGGGGTTTTTTCATCATATGAGTGTGTGAAAATAATCTTCCATTCCTTATATTACAATCTATAAACCCCCACCAAACTGTTTTATTGAAGATTTCACTGAATGACCGTGAGATGTTTGGTCTAAGTCAGCGTGTTAAAAAGCCCACTGACCACAGAGGACTCATTCTGGATGTGCTCATTTCAAAGGGAGTTGGTATTTCAAATGTGGATGTTTCTTTTTTTAATAGTTTTTGTGTTTTCCTTGACTTGTCTGTTTCACCAAAACCAGCAGTAAGGTCTGCGGATGTTCGGGGAAGACACAGTTTTTGGAAATGATCCTGTCTGAAGATATGCCACGTTCTCATGTTGATGATCTGCTGAATTCTTACTCAACAAGTGTCTTAAAGGTCTTGGATGCCATTGGTCAGAATGGTTAAAAACAGCTAAAGGCACCATAAAAAAGTGACGACTTGGTCAGGGCAGAGAAAAGGGAAAGCCGAAAAGCTCCAGGTTCATTTTTAGATCTACAAACAAAAGTTGTGTGTTTTCAACCAGAGTTTGCATAGAACAAGAGAGCGTTATTTTTTCCAAAATCATCAAGAACTGTGGAAACAACACTCATGTCCTGTTTGCTAAAGTAGCAGACTAACAAACCCTCGAGTCTCACTGCCCCTGGAACTCGTTTCTACATCCAAATGTCAGGAGTTTGTATTATTCTTTAAAAATGCAACGATTCCCAAAACACAAATAACTGCTCTGCCCCCAGTTAAACATCTGGAGCTGACTCAGTTTACACCTGTCACCAACAAAACTATGGAGGAGACCTTCTTCATCCTGAGTCCATCCAGTTACCCACTAGGTTCCTAAAGTCGGCGCTGAGCAGTTTTTTCTAGTCAGCATCTCACTTCAGACGGGAACTTTTCCAAAGGCCTAAAAACTGCTGCCGTTAAGCCTCTTCTGAAGAAGAGCTATCCCGTATCAAAGCTGCCATTAAGGGGAAAAGTCCTGGAAAAAGTTGTTCATCAACAGTTGACTGACTTTCTCCTGGTTAAAAGAGTGTTTGATGCCTCCCAGTCAGGCTTTAGAACAGAACAACTTTCTCCAGTTAAACTCAGACGAAACTAAGAAAGTGTCATTAGTCACTTTCAGACTCTCTCTGGAACCTAAAAACCAGGTCCAGATTCTTGGGGTAATACTGTACTCAGACCTGAGCTTTAACAGCCTCATTAAATCAATAACATCAGCAGCTTTTACCATCTAAAAACAGCCAGAATCATAGGAATGGAGTCTAAACCAGACCTAGAAAGACTGATCCAGAACCAGGAACAAGGACCACATCAGTCCAGGTCTCAGGTCTCAGAACTGGCCTCCTGTCGCTCAAAGAACAGACTCTAAATCAGCTTTGTGTTCGAGTCTCTGATAGACCAGCTGGACTCTGAGAACCAGGTTCTGGTCTCCTGATGGGGC